CTCCTCCTTCGCGTTAATTTTCTTTATTCGAAAGTCGTTTCCCATTAAATTCGCGTAAATTTAAGTCGCGTTAATTTCCAATACCTTAATTTCATGGAGCGTTAATTTCCTATAATAAGGTATTTCATGTTAAGAATAGTTTGTTGAAATCCATTGCACAGGCAGGACAGTGCCACAGTTGTTTCTTAAAAGGGTGTGGGGGAGCGGTTAACATCCTCCCTTCCCCACCCATTGACCACCAGTTGAATTTTTTGTCCTAATTTCCTTCTCCTTAAGAGTTGTCATGCACCTAAAAATATCTGCAAAAAGGACTTATAGAGTCCAGGTGTTTTGACTGAGGAACTGCATAGTTCTAGAAAATTTCAATGCCGTCCTAGAGGGCACTTTTGCTTAAGATCCCTCACCCCCCTGGAATTTCTATTCAAGAGGGTGCTTGTGATACCACTGTGTAACACAGTGACAGCTAGATAACTGGAAGTTTATTCATGATTAGATGACATGGAAAAACTATTACATGAGGCAGGGGCGGATCTAGGGGGAGGGTGCAGGGGGTACACCCCCCCTGAGATGACCTGCGGTTTTCTATAAAGACAACTGGTATTCTGCCAAAAAAAAAAAACTATGTGGTTTGTTGGTGTTGAAGTAGAGCAAGAGACGAGTGCACCCCCTCCTAAAAAAAATCCTGGATCCACCCCTGTGAGGTGTGAAAAAAACATTCAGCTGACTGTAAAAAAAAGATCATCAATGATGAAAACAAGTTTTGAAACACTGATTAACACTAAAATAAGTGATAGGTTGCTCCACTAAGAAGCTGTAATTTTTTTAACTCACCATATAGTCCCTGGAAAAAAGACTTTGAGAGGCCACCCCCACTCCCTTAGAAATTGCCTTCTTCTGATCCCCCTCTCATCTGAATTTCTGTCGCCCTCTCTGTTGGCGGGAAAGGATGGGGGGGGGGGGGGAGGGGGCAAAATTTAGGCCGGGCAAAACCGGGTTGTTTATGTTGATATTGCTGGAGGGGCCATCTTTGATTTTATGACAGGAAGGGGGGGGATAGTAGACATGGTAATCATGGCACTTTTGCGAGCAAAAACATTTGCACGCATGAAGAAAATGCCTGTACTGCAGGCTATGGGTAGGGCAGAGGGGTGGGTAAAGGCTATTTTATACTGTAACCCTAGTTTACTCTGAGTCAGGAAACACGTTTTCACCAGAGAAGGAAGAAAACATATTCACTCTTTACAATAATGACATTCACAAGATACATTGTTATGTTAAATATTTCATTCTCGTAAAAAGTTGAGAAGCCATCGTCCTCCCTGCTCTGTTGTTCACAAAAATCCCTCTTAGATCCAAGGGTGTACATGTATTCCCTTCTCTGTGGACATTTGGTGCGAAGGGTGTGTTACTAAAGATTTTGACTCCCTTTTGTCTGAAACTGGGTATGGATTTTAACTATTTGGGACTATTGAAGGTCTGAAATACTAGTCAAGGATTTCCTGACATATATTTAATACACACCCCAACCCAAACTCATCCATGTATGTCTTCATTGTACTCCTTGAATAAAGTGTACAAAATGTACAATCTCATTTTGTCTTATGAAATAGCTTAATCTAGCCTGCCTCTAGCATTCAAGGTTCTGTGCACTACCTACTCGCTCTTTAATCCCTGCCCCCTTTCACTTCTTTTAGCACCATTTCCACTATCTGGATGTCTGGAACAGGCTAACTTTTTTCCAATATTTTTTCAATACAGCTTAAAATTTCCTACAGTTTAATTATTATCATAAAATGTTAAAGCTCCCTCAGTTAATAATTTACATTAATCTTCTGCTCTAAAATATAGAAAACTAGTCATTAGTAGTTTAAAATATTAACATTATTCAAAATACTTAAGATTTGCGTTACTATTTTGAATCCATTAGATGCTGGAGGTCCTTTGGAGAAAGGAGACATAGAGGTAACTAAGTTCTAAATATTTCTTTGGCCACTATAATTTATAATATATTATGACTCGTGAGAGTTAACACTGGATTTGGAGGGCTTCATATTTTTTTTGCATGGTAACTTGTACCTTACAGAAACTATACACTAGCAGAGGAACATTATTAGTTCTCTTGTTGTCTGAAAATAACAAATGGCCAAAAATGTCTTTTCAGTAAATAGAAAAACAAAAGTGTAGAGTCATTCACTCTGGCTAGTCATCAAAAAAGCACTTGCTATTCACAGAAAATAACTTTTTTAAGATAATAAATGAAAATCTGCTGTATATGTTTCCTTGGACGAAAAGAAACATCAAGACTGTGCTCTATTGGTGCCTAACTTTTGCTCCTGGGCAACTACAAAATCTTAATTTTTCAATAGCACAGCCATGAAACATGATAATACAAAATAAAGCAAGGGTAGGTAAGTAAAGCTGCTACCATCATGGCTATAAGTCTTTCCTTGGTCACTTTAAACTGCACTGAAATTCACCTTTCTGGGGCCCCAAAATTAAAATCTTCCCTGGCAAGGACCCTAGACTCCTCCTCTGGAATGGGTGTGGTGATCCTCCTTTCAATACCTACCTGAATACCTTTCAATAAAAATCTATTGCTGCCTACTTTGAGAACCCTGGTTCAAGGACAGATCCAGGAATTTCTGATAAGGGAGGGTCCACACTTATACCCCGACTTTTAAAACTAATTCACAGTTAATTATACCAACCCTATATTAAAATTCACTTCATTATTTTCCGCTGAATTTCAGTCATAAAGTAGTCCTTCACTTCAGTTTGAATCACTCAGTTAATTACTTCGAGAAAGTCCAAGCCTGATGGAATTTAAAGGAGGTCTGCCCCCCTCCCCCCCTTGACTCCCATTTTCCCCCAGATTACATTACTGATCAAACTGTTTCACTCATTTAACAGGACATTAGTGGAAGATGGTGCATCATTTGTCCTTATCACAAACAGAAAATCACTCTGGATACTGGCGAGGGTTTACACTTCTCCATTGATCCAAAAAACCTGAAAAAACCACCCAAACTTTGTTCCAAGGGAGCTGTTCAGAGAATACATCAGGTTCAAGTCAAGGAAGATAAAGTATTTGTCACTTTATCAAGTACCACACAATATATACCCTCAGACTTCTATTACTCCAAGAAAATAGAAAAAGATTAAAGATTTGAGCAAGAAAGCATTTTTTGTGATCTTGTAATAAAACTGTACATTTTGTATACGTGCATGACAGTCAGCTTACAGTCCACTCTCTCATAAACGGACCCCTTTGGGACTGTTATTAATAGTGTCCATCTTATAGAGAGTCGATCAAAAGGAGTAAAGAAAGGCATTAGGGACCATCTTATATTAGGTGTCCATTAAGAGAGAGCTGACTGTATTCTTAACAGGTCTGTTAACAGGCTGACAGGCAATTTTCCATCAATAAAAGGAAAACTTCTGTCACTTATATATAAAAAAGGACAAAAATACAAATATTTTGAAATACCATTATAGCTTATGGCCAATTTATTATTTAAGGATGCCTTCTAAATTGAGAAAAGGAGGGACTCTATAAAGCTTGTTGTTTTCTATTTAAATATTTAATAGTTCTATTTTGAACTCTTTTCCCACTAAAAGAGTCAGCTTAATGTACAAAAAGATATGACAGTCATGTACTGATTATCCAGTTGAAGTTTGGTTTGTTAAGAGCTGGGACTGCAGTTATAGTAGTAATATCAGGCACTCTATTCACATTCCCTTTGTCACTTGCTTTACTTCCCCAGTGAAATTTTCATCATAATTATGCTTCACAGCATTGTCACTACAATTGGTGGTGCACTCTGCAAGCAAAACCTCCTTTTGCCTTCTTAAGTAAGGCACAGAAAAGAAGGCTCTGCCTGAATTGTGTCAAGCTTTTGAAGTCATTGAAGTGCAAACTTTGGGACTATTCCATCTTGCTCTCTATCATCAAACTGGTTTTCTGAGCTGAGTGTGAGCATCCATTTATTGATAAACCAATGGGCATGACTTCAAGCCTGCTGCACCAAGTGCAGGGCTATCAGACCTGGGTTCAAAACTGTATCCCAGCACATGTACATACTCAACAAAGATTTTACTTGATTCATGTAGAGTCTTTCTAGAGTTCAATATACGCCAAAATTGAGCGAGTGAAAGGCTCTACAAGCAGGGTACCGACGGTGAATTCAGTTGTTCAGATGATGGATAGTTTGATCTTTTGAGCTACATGTCCACTAGTGTATACTGCTGCAAATTCCTCAGCACCNGCCACAAAGACCTGAGACTTGGACAAATTGTTTATATATTAGTCTTTTGTAACATGTCATTTTCTCGGCTTCTTCCACTGGACGGTTTCCAATTTATTTTTTTGTTGCGTGACAGTGAAAACGATCTATTCTTAACAGGTCTGTTAACAGGCTGACAGGCAATTTTCCATAAATAAAAGGAAAACTTCTGTCACTTATATATAAAAAAAGACAAAAATACAAATATTTTGAAATACCATTATAACTTATGGCAAATTTATTATTTAAGGATGCCTCCTAAAAGGAGGGACTCTATAAAGCTTGTTGTTTTCTACTTAAATATTTAATAGTTCTATTTTGAACTCTTTTCCCACTAAAAGAGTCAGCTTAATGTACAAAAAGATATGACAGTCATGTACTGATTATCCAGTTGAAGTTTGCTTTGGTAAGAGCTCAGGGACTGCAGTCATAGTAGTAATATCAGGCACTCTATTCACATTCCCTTTGTCACTTGCTTTACTTCTCCAGTGAAATTTTCATCATAATTATGCTTCACAGCATTGTCACAACAATTGGTGGTGCACTCTGCAAGCAAAACCTCCTTTTGCCTTCTTAAGTAAGGCACAGAAAAGAAGGCTCTGCCTGAATTGTGTCAAGCTTTTGAAGTCATTGAAGTGCAAACTTTGGGACTATTCCATCTTGCTCTCTATCATCAAACTGGTTTTCTGAGCTGAGTGTGAGCATCCATTTATTGATAAACCAATGGCCATCGCTTCAAGCCTGCTGCACCAAGTGCAGGGCTATCAGACCTGGGTTCAAAACTGTATCCCAGAACATGTACATACTCAACAAAGATTTTACTTGATTCATGTAGAGTCTTTCTAGAGTTCAATATACGCCAAAATTGAGCGAGTGAAAGGCTCTACAAGCAGGGTGCTGACGGTGAATTCAGTTGTTCAGATGATGGATAGTTTGATCTTTTGATCTACATGTCCACTAGTTTATACTGCTGTAAATTCCTCAGCACCAAGAAACTGTCAGCTTTCATCTATGAATCCATTGGGATTCTCTTCATCTTGTTCATCATCCTATAGATCAATTGAAGGAATACATAAAAGAAAACTTCAATGGAAGATTAATGGCATGACTCCCCTTAGAGGACCCTTCTTAATGAACCTAACTAACCAGCTCTAACCCTTTAAGTCCCAATGGTGACCAACATCAATTTTCTCCCAACAAAAATTATTCATACCTTGTCAAGAGATTAGGTTATGAGAATTTATGAAATGATCACTAAAGAGAAGATGCTTTGATCTGCCATGAAATTCTATCAACTAATTCTTAAAGGAAATGTATGAAGATCAGTTTGGAGAATTTGTATTTGGATATGGGGGCTTAAAGGGCTAACAGTTCTCCAAAAAACCTGCTACCCATTAAACTAAGGAAAATTAATTAGAGTTAATCACCTTCATTTCACGGACATCCAAATCTTCTCCATATTGAATAGCATTGTCAATTTGAAGAAGCAAATTTGTGATAGAATCTTCATCAAAGGGGTTGAGAGGTAAAAATGACACCATGCTGTAATCATCAATCTAATACAAAGTAATAATATTAATACTAAAGGTGACATACAAAATGAACGAGACAGAAACATACTAAGGGCCCATCTGTTCTAGCAGACATTAAATTAATTTGGAGTTGTCTTTGAAACGTCTAAACCAAAAATTGTATGGTGACAATTATTTTTGTTTTTTAAAAACCTTATCTGCACTGGAAACTACATTGTATTAATTTTACTTTCAACAGGCTGTCTCATTAAAAAATAAAACAAATAATGAAGGGTTTAAAGGAAAATAAAGGGAGATGTAAAGAATCAACCATAAGAGGACACAGAAAAAATCTGAGCCCCAGATGGGATTCGAACCCACGACCCTCCGTGTTCTAGAGCAGATGCTCTAACCTCTGAGCTACTGAGGACTCGTTGGCGAGCAAGGGTCATTTTTGTGGGTTGGACTTGCGAACCGCATCTCGCAGTTACACAGTCCATCATTCCTCCTTCATGAGTGAGACATTTCTTACTATTAATGTGACTGTGTGATACAGTTAAGCCTTAATGTGTTGCTTGTGATGGACTGTGTGACTGCGAGATGCGGTTCGCAAGTCCAACCCACAAAAATGACCCTTGCTCGCCAACGAGTCCTCAGTAGCTCAGAGGTTAGAGCATCCGCTCTAGAACACGGAGGGTCGTGGGTTCGAATCCCATCTGGGGCTCACATTTTTTCTGTGTCCTCTTATGGTTGATTCTTTACATCTCCCTTTATTTTCCTTTAAATATTAATATCAGTGGCATAGGTTGAATGAAGTGTTTCCCAGAAAATTGGCACTTGTGACTGTTTACTAGGTTGTCACAAGCATCCATTTTCTAAGAAACCCTTTGTCATTACTTAATGGAAAGAACAATGGCTTTTCAACAATCAACAATGATTGACAAGAAAAAACAAATTCTTGTTTAATTTTGTCCAGTTTTTACCCGAGACAAACTTTATAAAATTGCCACAAACCATATGCATCTGCATTTGTTAAACATTGGTGATGACAGACAATTTGTCTAAATAAACAGCTTTTTAGCTAGTGCAGATGGACCCTGATATTCCTTGCAGCTAAACAAATCTAACTGTTCCTCTTATTTATTTATAACAACTTTATTTGCATAAAAATAGATGGTAAAAAGAATCATGAGTGCAAAAATGGAGCCAGCAGAGAAAAAATGAATCCTCATACAAGCTACGGGCCCCTCACTGTAAAATTAGTATATTGCAAATATTTCAAAGCTAAAAATCTAAAAATAGCAAGTTCTGGGAACATGTCTCAACTGAATGAGCTTCATTCTTTTCTTTGCAACTTTGCAAAAATAGATTCTTAGACAAGAAAAGCAGTTTCCTGAAAAAGATTGAGGAAAATCAGTAGTTTACGTAGTTGTATTGTTTTTTGTGAAGATGGGACTTGTTGGTGAGATAGATTATGTGACAACTTACCAACTGGGCCAAAGCTTTATTGAGCTTTTTGTATCTCTTGCTTGTACTTTCTTTAAGCTCTTCAGCAAGTTGTCGTGGATCAGGATCTAAAAACCTAACAAATATAATTAACCAGGTTTTCAGGTCATCTCAAAATTTAAAAGTACCAGACAGAACTCATTTCAAGGTAAAAGTTCTTTTGAATTCTGCAGATGCAATTGAGGCAAAGAGGGCTAACTATAATTATAATAAAGAGAAATTAAAGTAAAATTGCCACCAATTTTAGAATGAGATGATTGTTGAAACAACAATCAGAAAATTAATTTCTCACAAGCATGTACCGGTGGATGTTAAAAAGATAGAACTGCATAGCACCTTGAATTAACTGGATACACTGTAAAAGCTCACTTCATCCTGGCAGATCATCAGAAAAGTCCTTTTCAGTTGTGCTTTTTAAACTTGAACATGCAGCAGACAGCAATTTATGAACTCACCTATCTACGTCCTTTAATTGCTTCTTGTTCAGCAAGTCCATTTTACTCATGACATTTATGTGAGGAACCTCTAGCTGAATCATAGCAGACAGTGCTGACAAGACACCTGCAAAGAACTTGCTGCAGTCCACCATAAACTGAGAGTCAATCAGGAAGACACCACATACTCGGAAATCCCACTGATGGAGGGTCTCTACCAACTGCCGCATGACTGGCATGTGTGTGTACAGTTCAATCTGACCTTGAAATTGCAACAGAAACACAACCTAAGGTCTGTAGTTGGAGTAGTAGACATGCCAGTACAAGTGTGTGTGGTCTCCGTAATAAAAGATGAAGGGGGTGCCTTCAGAAATAAAGCCCTTAGTGACCTGACCTCTGATTAATGCTAAATTCTCCTTTCAATTGGCTGGATGCTCGTCAATAAAAAGGAGAATTTGATCTTAGGTCACGAGTCACTTTATAGGGCCTTTTCATTAAATCTTGCATCTTATATCCACTTGTGAATGTGGCAGTATCATTATGGTTGCTGGAGGTGCAAACTCATTTCTGTTGCCCTTATTCTTTATAGAGAGCTTAAGCAATGATTATAATGACGGCAAAGGCAATGAGATAAAAAAAGAAATCTAGGTTTAGATTATAAAGCAAAACAATGACTTTGCACCAGGCTGGTCACTGAGAGCTGGCTGCCAGCCATGTGATTTTACTGCTTGAAGAAGAGTTTACCACCAGCTCAAATTGCCATGGAAAACAAAGTTACAAAGGAATTTTGGACACGCAATTCAGAAAAAAAAACCCTACTCGACTAATAAAAAAGCCAGCCTGCCCATTCCTTAGCTACATTCCCGTTGCGCCCATCATGCTAATTTTTGTTTTATTTTTGCACGACTATGACAGGAAAATTCCCATTATTTTGTGATCAACTCAAAACAACGATTTTCATTTTCATTTTCTGAATTTTCAGAGTCATTTAGAATTCAACTTCATCAGAAAAATTCGCCAACATTGGTACAAATTGAACAAGGTACATGTAGAGTTTGAAACAATGTAAATTCAAGTTTTAGGTAACATGTTCACTGTTGTCACCTTTGTGGCTTTTTATTTAAGCTTCCTATATATTAAAGAGTAAAGAGGTCCCTTACAAAAATACAATTTAAACCAACGATAAAATTGAACTACAATAAATAAATCCCCAACATTCTTGAGTTTGACAGAAGTTCAATACATGTACACTGTTGTCACTGTGATTAAATCCCAATAAACTATTATTTTATGGTACCTGGACAGTCAAACAGAATGTAGTCATCATCAACATCTCCCAATTTTTCTTCCAACCAATCAAAATTTTGTACTAGGTATCTGTAATGCATTATAAATGCACATTAATTATATGTTAAACATGAAATTGTATGTATCTTTTAATGCTATTATGTAAAACAGTACACTAGTAATAACCAAAGGTTACGGAGTGGGGTGACAGCGATCGAGGGTCAAAACACTTTTGCTCCATCGCTGTGCTTTGCGTAAGTTTCATGAGACAGAAAGTCAAAACACTTGTAATCAGATTATGAGTGACAGAAGGTCCAAATGCGCGTGATCAAATCATGTCACCTGCACAGTGTGCAAAGAAAGTAGTGCCCGGTAGCCCAGGGCTAGAGGATTTTGCTATCAGGCTTGCCTAGTGAATTCTGTTTTTAACTTGCCCAACGGGCAAGTGATGTTTTTGAAGAACTCAAATAACAGAGTTAAGAACTGTGAAATCAATTCTGCTAGTCAAAACGTTTTTGGGGCTAGTTGAAATGACACCTGGGCTAGTACATGCTAGCTTCAGCTTGCCCAATTGGCAAGCTGTACAAAATGATTTTGTTTGCACCCTGTCTGCATTCCATTCATTCTTAGTGGAAGTCCAAACAAATTTAATATTGCTGGCTACATACATGCAACACATGTATAATAAAAACCTGGAGATTCGGATTGCAGGCTCCTCTTGTCACCCACAATAATAATATACTCTGTCAGTAACATAATATAAACCTTCCTTGTCATATAATTTTGTGTACGTGCACAGTAGTTAATTAATTCTTTTATAATGCTCATTACTTGACTCCCTTTTCTTTTATTTTGAAATAACTGCAAACTCAGATAAAACCAAACTGATGCAATACTCAAGACTGCTTTACAGTCGTGAAATGATTGTTACAGCTAATTTAATCAGCTAGAGGAGCCCACATTCCTAATCTCCAGGTTGCTAATTATATATGCACAGCATGGCCAGTGTTGGTTAGGACTTACAATACGAATGAATGCAATGCATAGAACACAATCTGATCAATTTTTGGACCTTAAGGTCTTACATGCAGTTTTGACCTTATACACTGTATCACATGACACTTACACAAAGTACAATGTTGGATTGCTGCAAACTGCGATTGATCTCGCCCACACTCCCTAACCTTTGTTTACTAACAGTGAAAGTTTTATTTGTAAACAAATACAGAAAACAATAGCCTGCAGCCTTTGGGCAAGCTGGATCACCAGAGGCTCTCTCACTTCCTAGAAAATCTTTGACCAAAAATGTAATTAGTCACTTAATGGACATATAACAAATCAACAGGTGTTTGGCAACCTGAATGCCAGTGTGCACCTACAATATTATTACACACAACTTTAAAACAGCAGAGGATGAATAAAAAACAACAACAAACAAACAAACAAAAGACATGCTGACCAAAAGAGAAACAAAGTAGCTGCACTGCAAGCAGCCTGATTAATGACTATTACACGTATATCTTACAAGTCAAAATTAAATTCAGGTTGATTCTCAATTTCATCCATCTCCTCTCCTTAATTATTCATGAATTAGGGCTAGGAGGCAAAGAAAATTTAGAATTAACCTACAGTGTAGGTCAAAAAATTTTAACCTGAATTTAATTTTGACCCACTAACATATATACAGAGTAAATTGTATCAAATTAAAATCATTATTTATTATTATTATTATCACATCATTATTATTATTATTTCCCTTTTAACAATATCAGTTGTGAAAAATACATTACAGTAGAGGACAGTGACAGAACAGGGGTGGATACAGGATTTTTTTTAGGAAGGGGTGCACTCGTCTCTTGCTCTACTTCAACACCAATAAACCACATAGTTTTTGCAGAATACCAGTTGTATTAGAAAACCGCAGGTCATCTCAGGGGTCATCTCAGGGGGGGGGGGGGGGGGGGGCCCCCCCCCCCCCCCCCCCCCCCAAACCCCCCCCCGCGAAATTCGGCCTTTAAATCCCCCTTCCCCTTTTTTTCCCCCAAAACCCCCCGCCTTTATTTTTTTTTCCCTTTGCCCCAAACTCCCCCCCCTGCCCCCCCTTGGGGCTATTGTGGTAAAAGTACACTAAGAATACCAGTTGTATTAGAAAACCGCAGGTCATCTCAGGGGTCATCTCAGGGGGGGGGGGGGTGCACCCCCCCTGCCCCCCCCCCCTAGACCCCCCCCTGCAGAATTCGTGCATCTAGATCACCTGTCACAGTTTGTGCCCACAAACCCACTGTCATTAGTCTTGTTTCCTCTGTGCTCAAACTACCTCCCTGTGCACACCTTATGGTCATGTATGGTAAAAGTATAGCTACACTCCTGTGCCAGATGTTAATAATACAAATGAAAAGTTTCTTAACTGGCAGAAGCACAACATTTGCCTGGTTTATAAAAATATAAATTTCCGGACTAAGAGGTAGTACTTTGTAATAAAAAAATAATTTTTAAGGTATTTTTTTCTCTTACTCCATGCAGAAAATTAGCCCTCCATTTGGTCCAAGTTTCAAATCCTCAGCTTCCATAACATCTTCTAGCTCCACCAGCTCCCTCACATCTATGAAGCCACAATAAACAAGAAACAAGCAACAAGATACATGTACAGTGTTGACTTGAAAGGGTGAAGTAAAAAACTACACTTCTATTTGGAAGTACACATAAAATAAATAGGTCACACCGCAGAATCTTAAACTAATTCTTATTTGGTATAATTTTTGCAAGCAATCCAAGATTCTCAGAAAGCTACAACAATCAGGGAAATGCTCACTCACTGCCTAGTTGACACAAAAAGGCTGCTACCCACAGAAAATAATACTTTTCAAGCGCAGTAATGAGTTCACTGCATTAATAATCATTATTTTGTTTCTAAAACCTTGTGTTTCCCGCATAAAAATAACTATACTAATTTATAAATGATAAAAAATGAAGCAAATATGTGGGTAAATGAGGGTGCCATCCACAGGTTTAAAATTAATATTTTGTTTCACCAAAAAATCAGTCAAATGCACTTTTTCAGCATCCTCAGATTTAAAATTCACCAGAATTCATCATGGTGGGTGTCAGGCAATCTATGCCTTTTGATCAACTTTGTTGCCAACAAGATGTACTTAAATTTCTTCCACTTGAAGAACACTACCTAATCACTTTAATTATTTTTATTGGCAATTAGTTTTCCTACACAAGTGTAGCTTGTGTTATAGTTTTATGTATGGTTGCATTTTTAATCACCAATATAATGCTGAACTTCATAGTCATGTTGATTATCACAGACAGTGCATGAAAATGAAATAAAGCAAAAAAACTAAAAAATATTAATAATGCACTCACCTGCTAAAACTGGATAACCAAAGTGTTCAGCAGCTGGATCAAGGTTAACCACATGAACTGATCTTTGTACATTCTCGCAGTGTTGCAGAATTGTAGTACAATAAGTTGACTGAAAACAACAAAATGGCCTCAACTAGGAGAGCTATGCAAAGCACTTGCACAGGGCCATAGTCAGACATAAATTCTCATCAAGATAAGATCCGAGAAAAACTATCTTTATAAGCACCTTTGTTTATTTCTTTGTAAATGCATTAGCATCAGAAACTTCAAATTTTCACCAAGGCAACTACATTGTTCCACAGCTCCTTCACAACTGACTATGCAGATGCATGCAAATACAGTGTGCAACATGCAATTATTTTAAAAACTAATTCAGTATATATTATAAAGTTACATAATGTGGTAACAGTCTGACTGATTCCAAGAGGTTTATTTATTACAATAATATTTATTACAATAATATTTTAATGGCAATAATTAGTGATGGACATAACAATGATAAAAAAAAGGCCATAAGGATGATTTGTAAAAGAGTTGCAGTGAGTCACCCCATATAAAAACAAATCATCAAGGTTGGTGGTGGTAAATTTATTTAAAATCTAGAGTGTTAAATTTATTGTACTCCCAAAGAAGTAAAGTTCTTACCTCTTCGCAATATTTTCTTCCTTGAAACCCATATTACTTTAATAAAAAAATTACTCCAACAACCCATACCCTAGCCTGAGAAAAAAACCAACATTTCATTTTTTTTTTTTTCGGCTTCCTCATGAAAATGATGATGTCTGTCTGAGAAACGCCTGCAGAAATTCGATACTGATGATGTGTTCAAACCACCCAGAATGCAGGTCAAGGTAGTGCTTCTGGTTGGTTGTGTAGCAAGGAAAATTTGCTTCAACCAGTCAGAAACACTATCCAGATCTGGATAGTGACAGGTCATCCATGTAGAATTTTGGCACTCGTTCCTCAGACCACAGTGAGATCACTTTCTGTTTGTGTGGCAGTTGTTGTTATTGAAATCAGAGCATGCCTGTGTTCACAGATCATTTGGCAAAGGCTCCCCTCACCAAATGGTAAGGAAAGATAAGAAAGACCTTAAAAACCCCCTTAATAGACATCTCTGCAAAGTGGATACCAGTGGAACTAACCAAGAAAAATTTCAATGACATTTTTTCAACTGAAAGAAATTTCCAATCAACTCAGATCAAAGCAACCCATCATGTTTTGACCAAAATTCTGGTTACTTCAAAATTTCAGTGCTGTGGGACTGGTTTTGGTTCAACCAGTCATGTCAAAGTGGGCCACCTTCAGATATGAGCGCCACTTTTTCCTGAAAATGTTTATACAGTGACCGAAGTGTTACACCTACGTTTAAGCAGAATGTTCTCAAAATTTTGAGATGATTGAAACCAACCTTAGAATCACAGAGTGATGAGCTCAGGATCTTTAACCGGTGTGCGACAAATGCAGACTGCAAACTGGCAGGTAAAAGAAGTAAACATTGTTGTAGAATGCTCTAAAAGATTCCCTATCCCTAAACTAGACTTTTAAATGACTTAAACTTTCGGGATAGGGACTCTGTTAAAGCAATCCACATCAAGGTTTTCCTTGTTCTGCAAGTCTGCAGTCTACATTTGTCGCACACCGATCTTTAACAACTAAAACAGGCCCGGGAACATACATGTACAGAGCTAGCACAATTATGTTGCTGCAGTACAAACGACTACCCATCTTTTTCACTATACCTACCTTACCGCTTCCAGCGGGTCCCATTACCAACTGCGCATACCTCATACTTTCACTTTTTTATGTCACTTTTCTCGTGCAGAGATTCCCCATTAAGTTGGAACAAAAATTTGAAAAAGACGACGCCATTTTGGAAAGTGCACGTTTTATTCCGTACGATATGTATGGTATCATATTGTGTAACAAGAAGCATCATTTCCAGTCTCCAAACGGCCATGAGGGTTCGGTTTTGAAGTTACGGGATCACTGGTTATTGTTATTATTATTATTATTATTATTATTATTATTATTATTAATATATTATTATTATCATTATTATTTATTATAATAAGAGCACAAGGTGCTGATATCATGAGGGTCATTAGGGCCTAGGAAAATTAGAAAGACTAACTTAAAAATAGGTTACTGTAGTAACCTATTACTGTCGAGCCTGTCGAAGGCTCCCCCGTTAGCGACCACAAAATGCAAAGATTGAGTGGTCGCTTACAGGAGGTGGTCGATTACAAGGATCAAAACACAGGGGGTCTCTTCTGAGAAGAGATCACGGTACATCTGCTTTATGGAAGATAATTTATTGCACCCAATGTCTAAGTTAGGATATGTGTAGTTCCATGTTGTCACTTAAGTTCTTCGTATATTCTAAGTAACGTACTGAAAATAACAAAAATAGGGATCCGAGAATGCGCCAAGTGGTCGCTTACAAGAGGTTAAAACAATGGAAAATCATTAACCGTCAGGCCCAAAAAGTTGTACCGGTCGCTTACAGGGTGGTCGATTACTAGGGTTCCAACTGGGGTGAGGCTTTGAAAGAGAAAGTTTTGATGTTTTGGATTGGTGCGCGGTCGCTTATGGAAGGTGGTCGCTTACGAGAGGTGGCGACACATGGATGTTTGGTAGTACATTTCAAAAATAAGCTAAACCGAATAAAACTGGAAAAGTAAATAAAAAGCTTGCGATCTATAGAGTTCCAAAATATGGTTTTTAAAAATCATTACTGATCTATAAGCCTTTATCTCCCTAAGAATATATATTGTTGAAAAGTTTCGATCCATTTCTGTGAAAAACCTTTCTCCCACTCTTCTGCACTCTTAGTTCTCAGTTTAAGGACTATCATCTTTTAGAAACATTAGTGGGGACGTGGGAATCCCTTCAAGCATTTGAATGTTAAGGTAGCTCGATTGGATTTTTTCCGCAATACCTCCTAAGTTTGAGCATTATCTACGTCACCATTACATGTAATAAAGATATGGAAACACGATTATAATATATCACAGCTTTATCAGACAAAGATGGCTTCATCCTCGGACGGTTTCTTGCGGTTGTAATGAATTTCTTTGAAAGAATGGAACAATATACTGTAATAGACTAATCTACATGAAAGTTACTTGTTCGGGGTTATAGGTACCTAAACTGACCTACACTGACGCAGAAATTTACCTCGTAGAGTTCTTAGCAGACTTTGGAACGCGGAAGAAAGTCGGTGGAAAAGGCAACGCACGTTACCATACAGAACACGCCCTAATAGAGAACATTTCGCCATGAACTGTGGGTATACAATACTGCGCGGAGACTGGTAGCTAAACCCGGCGACAAGTTCCTACGAGCATGGCGGCTACACGAAGATTGAGCAAGGTAAAGGATTATTTAAAGCGAAACTCTTTGTGATTTTACCGAAAACGAACCCTATTCGAACAAAAGCTTTTTAAGTAAAAGCTTCAGAAAAGACTTTTTATATTTATGCCTTCAAACATGGATGTATTTTGACAAATGTCGCTCAGATTGTTGGGCAACTCCATGACTAACAATTTTAGATTTGATCTCATTTGTCCTTAGTTTCAAAATGCAGCTGTCTTGTTTAGTTTACTCTTTAGTTGCCTGAAAGTTTACTGAAATGGTCTTGTTTTATCTTAATAATTTTTTTTGTTCTCGAGACACATTAAGTGAAATTCCCTATGCTGAATTTACTTACCGTTTGCAGATCCGTAAGCTTAGTTTTTTGTGATGATTAGACTTGCATCATGATATTCGCAGTGCATGTATGTTGGTGACCTGATCTTCCCATTCTTCCAGGAACTGAACGACATCAGATCGTCTGGGATCAAAATATTTCGAAATATTGAAGTAGATGAGCAAAATATTTTAAATTGGCAAGGATTAATTGTGCCGGTAAGTTCGCAGACATATAGATTGTGTTATTTTGCGAAGGGCTTGCTTTAGTTCCTGTTTCCTGTTTCGGATGATATTCTTCGACATTATGCCAACTGAGGAAAAATTTTTCGCAGCTTGGAATAAATTGTCTTTTATATGATTATGGGAAACAAACTGTGATTGGGACCAATTGTTCTTTCAGCCTCGCTCAAACTTAAGCTACTTGAAAGAGAATATTCTGTGACCCTTGTTCACTGTTCTTCTCTGAAGAAATATTTCATTATCGGTGAAGGTGTTCATTTTGCAACCATGGTACAGAAAAGGATTGACATTCACTTGTCCAGCTGTTAAGTGCTCTTCTAGTTTTACTTGTCCATATGTAAGTCCAGTTGTCTAGTTTTATACCTGCCAACTTTTTCTGACTCAAATGCAAGAGATTTCACCTTGTCATGACTGGGATTTCCAGAAACGTCCTGGTGACTTCCGAAGATTTCCAACAACTTTCTGAAGACTTCCGAACATTGCCAAAGCCTAGTTAATGCTGGGCATTTACTAGGCTTCATTCCAGTGGAAAAAGCTTTGGGGAAAACTTTTAGGATCACAAGATTTGATAGAAGGAAGTGTGGCAAGGTGGTTAAAAAAGATATGGACAAAAATTTGGGGGTCAAGTTTATATGGTTTTTTTTTGCTCTTTGTTTGGCCTTCTTGACTGAATTGTGTTAGTTCTGGTATAGTTTGAAAGATCTCTTCCCCCTCCACAAGTTAGATGACAAAGTTGTCCTTGACACATCACAAGCCGTGGAAGGGATGTGGATCTGCTTGGGCAGTTGTGGGCAGCTCCGGGGTGAATGGGTTAAGATAATCATAAAATTTTGTGTGCATTCTTGCATCTTATTTATCTGGAGCAAAATGTCAATACTGAATTGCAAGGTTGATTGAAAAAATGTCACTTCTAGGGTACATATCAAGTATCGGATAATGTATCACAAGAAAATTATTTTCAAGGTGAGGGAGGGCTCATTGCAGGCTTTGGCCTATATATTATTTTAAGCACCTGTTAAGAGGGAATTATAGAAGTTATACTACTACATGAGAAATTTCTGTAATTTGATTGGCTTAGAGCAGTGGTATTTCAGCATAATTTGAAATACCTACATGTGAAAATTACAAAACCTTTGTGGGTATTAGTATAAACAAATAATAGCATGATTTGTACGTGATATTTGGCATAAATGGCACTCGTGATATTTCAAAATTGTCTCAAATTTCACTTGCCTAACGGCTCGTGAAATTAAGTATAACAATTTCGAAATATCACTTGTGGTGTTTTTGCTAAATGTCACTACAAATCATGCTATTACCTATACAAATACAGATAAATGTACTGTAATGGAGTGATACAAGAATGTCCTGTAGGGGAGGAACTTTCTCTTTGTCTTCATCATTGTCTGGTCATTTTCTTTGGTAATGGCTGCATGTACCATTTGGTTGGTATTATATAGCAACTTAATGCTACATGTAACTTTATGGCCCTTTTTTCAACAGGAAAATGCACCCTACAGCAAGGGTGCTTTTAAAATAGAGATCAATTTTCCTGCAGAATATCCTTTTAAGCCACCAAAGGTGAGTCTGTCTACATCTTAATTGTATTGGTTGCCTTCAGCGTGAACACCACTAGAGTAGCACAAAGGTCATCGCTTAAGAATGTGAATTACATATTTACATCCTTTCCTCATAACATTAGTTATGGCCACCTGTGTTTCTGATGCATTTTGTATGTTTTTGTTGTGTTCTAAAACACAGTGCAACAACCCTACTTAATAGACCCTAGCACCATTTTTTCAACTTTGGACTTTGCCCAGTTGGTAATAATACGTTGACATTGATTCAAAAGGTGTCTTAAAACTAGTAAAGTTATTGAGTTAGGGAGTGATTCGTTGAAAACTGGCGAAGATGTACCTCCTTAATGTCACAACATTTTACAGACGTTTTATATGCTGTGGGCAAGCAAGTTTGTGCCCCTACCATACAAAGGTCTGTATGCATGTCTTTGCAAAGTTTTATGTTGAGTCGTTTCAATATGCCACTTTCAAACTTGGCAAGTTTACTATTTTTAAGGCATTGTTTGTTTCTACCAGTGACACTCAGGTCTATAACACTGAAGTTTAATGCCCTTCAAATTGAGGTTTCTTATCAAAACAACAGTTTTGTCTCACCAACAGTCCTATCCAGGAGTGGACTACACTCACCTGATCGATCATATTCAACCTACTTATGACATTGACCCTGAGTTTAAATATTTTTTAATAATACTAACCATTTTGATTAGGAAAGCACCCCAGTAAGAACAGGCGATTTAAACTATGCTGTATTGTGTTATGCAGGGTGGTCATTTAGGGCGTGAGGCCAGGGATTTCCCTGGCTACCATGAGCTTGACCCCCAACTACTTTTCTAGAGAAATAAATAAAAAATAGAACCAAAAGAAATCCCTTGCTGTTTGATTTCCCACCTTCTTGTTGTATTACTGTTTCCCAGTGACTTAAAATCCTAGTGGTCTAGCCTTGGTCATGAAGTTATGATATCTTGCCTTTTGTAGTTATTATTATTATTATTTTCTTTTGTTTTTTACTAAAATCTGTCCTTATCAGTAATGTATTATTGTTAAGCAAACTGTTATTGTTAATGATTATCTTTCAGATCACTTTTAAGACAAAGATTTATCATCCTAACATTGATGAAAAGGGCCAGGTATGCTTGCCTATCATCAGCCCTGAAAACTGGAAACCTGCCATTAGGACTGATAAAGGTGGGTTAGTGCCCTAAGTTTCAAACCTGGTTAGGCTAAATACAAAGCAAAGCAAATATATGTACATGCCTTCAATCTCAGGATATGGAACTTGCAAGCAATATGATACTAAAACTAATCCGTCCTAAAAATCAGCCAACAGTTTCATGTTACTTGTAGAAAATTGTGTTCGATGAAATTTCCATTTGGCTGAGGTGTTCGCATTAACGACATTAACGAGGGTGGCTTTCTATGAGAATCTGTTGATTGGAGGAGAAAAAGTGGTCATTGTCTGCTTTAACGGGCGTCCATATAAGCAGGTCAAATTTAGAGAAAAAGTAAGGGCTTTCTCCAGGGACAAAGAAAACTGTCTGCAATAATGAGGGTGTCTGTATTAAGTGGGTGTCCATAAAGCAGGGTTCGGATGTATTGTTATTTGACCTTGCTCAACTGAACTGGTCATCAATGTACATCACTTTAAAGTTAAGACAATCAAAAAAGGTATTGGTAATAGCTAAAAAATTTACTCATTTACTTGCAGTTTACATACCTATTAGTTATTAACAAATCAACAAGAAAATCGCTAAAGTGAACCTTTGGATTTTTTCATTTCACAAGCTTGATGGATCTGCAACTCAAATTTTACGTATCACAGCCAATATCTAGCTTGAAAGCAAGGTGTTATTACTTGTGGATAACATGTGTGCGCTTAGGTTGGCTAGTTAAATTACTCATTATTTTTACACTGGGCCTCTGCATTGGTTACTCAGCCTCTCCTTAGTATTGTTATTTATTATATAAAAATCAGTGAAATACCAGGTAAACTTTCGGGCAAAAACATGATATCTTCACTTGTGAAAATAACATGTTAGTTTCACATGTGAAAAGATCACCATTGCTATGGCTACATAATGAATTGCACCTTTTATAAAAAACTTTTAAAGTGAAATGGTTTGAAATGTCATTGGTGTTTATATAATGAATAGAATATTACATGGCTGCTTGTAGATATGAAATTTCTCTTTGAGTGTTGAAAAATACTTTATGAGTGAGTACAGCGAAGAAGTGAAATACTTTTCAACACCTGAAGAGAAATTTTGTATCTCCACGTGGCCATAAAATATCCTCTATTTACAAACTTCTCTCTTGTTTCAGTGATTCAAGCGCTTGTGGCTCTCATACATGATCCTGAACCAGAACACCCACTCCGTGGAGACCTAGCTGAGGAGTACATCAAGGATAGAAAAAAGTTTAATAAGACTGCTGAAGAATTCACAAAGAAATATGCTGAAAAAAGACCTGCTGACTGAACATCTTTTTGAATTTGCCTTCTTATTTTAAGACCACTACAGTTAAAATCTAGCTTTGATGTAATCTCTGATATACACTGCTTAAATGCATCTTTGACATCCAGGGCCCAGTTGTTCGAACGCCAGTTAGCGCAAACCCAGGGTTAAATTTTAACCTGGGGTTCATTTTCTTTTTATCAAAAGCACTCTCTTGGATAATTTTCTCTATTCATTTTATAGTTTCCAATCATCCAATCGTAGGCAAAGAGAATCTAACTGAATTTGCTTTTTAATCCCTCATCCCTGAGTTCAAATTTTGCATTAACCAAGGATTACCTTAACCCACCTTCGAACAACCCAGCCCAGAGTATTATTAATAGTAGTTTTCAGTCTAGTCTGTAATAGATGTAGTCAAGCACAGCATACTGGTGAGTAAGGCCCCATTTACATGGAGAAAAGTTGTCCTGGGTAGAAGAATCACCCTCACAGCTGAGTCAAATTTAGCAAGCATTTATATGAGAAAAAAGTTGATCCCTTTGCCTAAGTCAATAGTAGTCGCGCATGCTGTGATTGTCTAAAACAGTGCTCATGCATGCTCTGATTGTCTCGTCTTGACCTAGTTGACCTGGCTGGGCAAGCTAAAGTGTTTATTTGGAGAAAAGTTGGCCTGGCTAGGAAGGTCACCCTACCTTGAGTTCACAAAAGGGAGAGCCGGCTAGGCAGGTCACCCATCCAACTTTATATTTCTCTTGTTAACGGTTTGTCAAGGTTTGGAAATAAAAGTTGGCTTGTCCAGGGTAGCTCAAGTAGGCAAGTGACCCTTCTACGTGGGACAAGTTTTGTGCATATAAACAGGTCATAATCTGATTGACTTTGATGATCTGCCTGTACTTCCAATCACTTGTGTTAGGGAATTGCAGATATTAGGCTGTATTGAATATCTTGTTTGGTTAGTTTCCGTGGCTGCAACTGATGACTTTATAATGTGTAGTTTCCTCTTAGATTCAGTTCCAGCCAGCTTTCTTATACCTTTTTGAATGCTGTTATTAATAAATTTACTGTAAGTAGTGTCGATGTGCTAGTTATTGTCAAAAATATTATTTCTTTTGTTTACATTTTCACAATATATTCTTAACTTAAACAGTCTCTCTTATTATTGCTTAGAAGTTTGAAAGTTCTAATAGGCAATAGACCCTTTGGAGCTAGCTATTCATCTGGTACAAAACCGCCATGCTGGAGAGCAAAAGTCGCACTGGGACAAGACAAACAAAAAACATACATAATTTATTTTAAATGGTAATGTCCTTTGTTTTTCTTGCTCTCCAGCGTGGGGGTTTTGTACCACATGAATGGCTAGCTGCAAAGGGCTTTTTCGCCACTTTCAGATGAGAAGGGAACAGGACTCAGCTTAAAAGCGTCCTGTAATTGTTTCTGGTATAGTTACTGTTGACATGCCAGTCAGGTATTGGCCAATTTTTTCCCTGCCCCTAGTTACAGTTCCAGAAGCCTTTGGGAAAGTGAACTTGGCCCAGTTCCCTTGTAGTTTCTAAAAGGAGTGAATGTTAGGTAGTAAGGTTGCTTTTGTGGATGTAAGAGGACAGAAGAGTTTAAAAGCTATTTGAAAATTTTCACTTTCATTTTGTTCAGGTATAGTCTTGTTGGTCAGTTCGATGCTTTTGTTAGTGATGTGAAATATAGTGTATTAACTAACTTTTGACACGTTTACCTTGTTTCCTTTTTGCACTTTAACGATCAAAGAGGAGCTACTGGGAAATTTGACTTACTTCTAATAGCAGTTGCTGTTGAACTAGGTGAAAATATAAGTGGCCCGTGTCAAGAACACTTGGTTTCACTTAAAAAAATTAAGAGGTCAAAGAAACGTATTACTGATTCAATCCATTTCATCATGTTATTTAATCAATTTGTGTGAGTACTGGGGACCTAGAGGACAAAGCATATGTGTTAGGACTGGTTGAAAAGTAAGCAGCCTATTTCAGGAACTCTTATCACACTCCACTGTTTTAAAAACAAATCATTTGTTTTATAGTGGACATCTTGGTGGTCAGGACATAGGAGCATGAATCTCAAAGAGTTTCCATTTAATTTCAATATTTGATTGTTCCACCTCGTCTCTCCACACCCCATCTTGCCCATCAAATGGGGAGGTTTACGGTCATCTCGCCATCAGAATATCTTGCCACCAACCAACTAGCCACTAGCTGTGTAGCCTTCGAAAATAAGGAGCAAGCCAAGTATCCCGCCCAGGCATAACAATCAACTGGGGGGTTAACTTCATTGTTAACAACTCTTAACAACAAGGAGTAATTTATTGAGATCATCAGCAATTCCAAGAATTTGTTTCTTGGCATTAGGTGAGGTTTTGTTTTGGAGGAGTATCTTAAGTACACTCATGTGGCAGTAAATTTGGACCAGGAGACACTTTTTAAAGAAAATTCATTTTAAAATGTTTCTGACTAACAAAATTATGTGAATTAGTGAGATAAGCACGTTCTATTCAAGTCAAGTAATAAACTTATGCGTGGTTGTTTTGGTTCAATTCTCATGTAAGGACCTGCATCTAAATATATGCTTTAAAGGAGTTAATACTTAAATAATCCCTAAAAGACAATGAACCAAAAATAACCTGTCTTAAGATCTGAGACCATTAAGTGAATTCAAGAAAATAACAATCCTCTATGGGGGAAACTCACGTTTAGCGCCCATCTACTTTTTGGTAACCTATAAACTGTTCACAGGCTACTTTTTTGGGTCAGACCTGGCACTCGTCTATTCGCCATTTGCACATCTCCCATATAACCATTGTCTTCAATTTCTCTTTGGACGACTGCAACACCCAGGAGAAATTAAGGTGGCTCTATAGGGTTTTTCAGGGTCAATACCTCCCAAGTTTGAGCATGAACTACGTCGCCGTTAACGAAGACTAGAAAAAATTACCATCACAGCTGTATCGGATAAGTATACTACGAGTTATATTTCGAAATTGTTATACGCAGTTTCACAAGCCGTTAGGCGAGTGAAATTTGAGACAATTTTGAAATATCACGTTTGGTATTTATGCCAAATATTACGTACCGTGAATCATGCTATTATTAATTTTGTTTATACTACTACCCGCAAACACTTTGTAATTTTCACATGTAAGTACTCCAAATAGAGCTGAAATACCACTGCTCTAAGCCAATCAAATTGCAGAAATTTCTCATGTAGTAGTATAAAGATCAAAATTTGTTAGACTAGCGCGCGTGTAAATCACCCGACCGCGTCTCGCCTTTCTCGCCTGGGTTAATTTTCACCCGCCCTCACGTTTTGCTCGCTCTACTACATGGGGACTACGGCGTAGTCTAGTACCCAGTTGTACCGTACCCAGGGTGACTTAAGGGTGACTTTGGGACAGCGGGGACTGGACTCTAGCCTTTTCGAGCGCCGCGCGGGTCGGCGGGAAATCCAAAATGGCGTTAAGTTGTCTCTCTTGCTTTGCTGCAAGCAACTTGATTTTACTGATAACTGGAGGGTTATCTTTGCCTTTGTACTTTTCATATTTTGGTTCCGAAGCAGCAACAAGATTTTCTTTGCTTCTTTGTTTACATTCTGTCCTACTTGCGGCAATACCAAGAGTTTTGGTGAGTATTATATTCCCGTCCGGCGTTTTTTAAATTTTAGGTAGCCAGAAGTAGTACCCCTCCTATTCAGAGTACTTGAAAGTAAGCTAACTCTTAAACTGATCGGCCTGAAACTTTGACATGCCCTTCAGGAAACCTTCGGGAAGAAATTTTGGGCTGTTCAAGTTTCCATTCCTGTGCTTTTACAGTTCCTTCTATGTTATAGTTGTTATGATAGAAGAAACCCCAGGGTATCCGATCGATGAAATCGTTAATCGATGACAGTCGAAATCAATCAATACCAATCCATATCAGTAAATCGATTGATTTTGATAATCGATGACCAGTCAATGGCTAAGATTCGTGTGGTTATCGATTGGTGTCGATTTTCAATAACAGTCGATAGATAAATTGGTATCTATTGGTTGCAGATTGACACAGAAATATTTGCAAGTACTGGCCAAAGGGGATCTACAAGCTCGGACTGTAAGCGGCCGAGCTGTCCACGATGGTTAACAACTTAAAAGGCGTTTCCGCATTCTCCCCTCTTCTTGTTAGCAGTAAACACTTCGCCGGCGTTCACCTCAAAATGGCAAAGGTGATAGCCTCTGACGATGCACCTTATATTCAGTAAAGCCTCTTCCCGGACTTCTTGGGTAGACATGATGACATGGAAAGGCAGTGATGGGCAAGTGGGTGATTCGAGTACTTGTGCAACGGGGTATATTCTTTGCATTGAGATGACTGGGTCAGAATTGTATACCAATTTCTTTCCCAGGTCTTCCTAGAAATGGCGGATGATCGGACAGGTAGCATGCGAGACGTCTGTTCGAGGTTGCCATGTTGATCGATAGTAATCAATGAACGGTTTTTGTGTGGTTATTGATTGATCATCGATTGACCAATACCAACCGATACCAATTAATAATTTAATTTTAGCGATTGATATCGATTGATCGATTGGTTTTCCGATCATCGATTTCCATTGATCGGGTGCCCCGGGATTGAAACAGGTAACAAGTAGGTTCGCCTACCATCTCGATCTCTGCTAGCACGTTATTTAACCACGAGGTTCTTAACACGTGGGTTTTAACTAACTTTAGTACAATATCAGTGCCACTGTTAAGCTTCTAATTAACCTTAACTTGACAGAAATCTGCTTTACCAATGCTACAGTTGTTGTTATTTGTTACCCTTCTGCTTCTTCCATTCAACGTGACTCCACATTTTATTGTCTGGAGTTATCAGAAGATTCTCCGTCTGTCAGAGTCTGCTTTTTTGCTGACCGAAGCTGTGTTGTCAGTGTTGGTGGTGATGTTTGTAAGCCAGTCTATTGTGAATGAGATTGATGAACACCCAGTTTTAGTCAAGGTATAAGGTAACATAGGAAATAAAGTGTGCATTCTGATTGGCCAATGATCTTCTTATTATTTGCCAATCAGTAACTACACTAGTGAAGGCCAACTGCCATCCTCAAGGCAGTATGTACAGGGTGCAAAGAAAATCATTTTTACAGCTTGCCATTCGGGCAAGCTGAAGCTAGCATTTACTAGCCCAGACGCCATTTCAACTAGCCCCAAAAACTTTTTGTTCTTATGTTATTCAAAGTCCTCATAAAACATCACTTGCCCGTCGGGCAAGTTAAACATAGGCACGTTAAACATGCATGAGCTATTTTGAATGCTTCAGTGTAACCTTACCAAGAATGATGAATCTACCTTTTTCGTCCTAAATATAGACTGGGTTTTTGTGCAAAATTGGGTATTGCCGTACATAAATGAAAACGCGAAACGCTCAGCTGCGTCGATCCTCATGCTATATATTCACTTTCCTCTGTCTTTCCCTGTTACATTTGGTGCAAGTTCAACAAATTATTAAAGTAAAATAAATATCTACTCACCAAACGTTGATTAGAAGGAAAACTCTAAGGTTTCCTCGGAGTTTCTTAAGCCAAAATGTGACTCATCGAATTCGAGTAGTTAAGAAATACCAGGATTCTTATCATTGTGGTAGATGGTTGCATCATCACAATCCACGAGGTTTTCACGTGCGATTCTACTCAGTGAAACAGTCCTTAACTCCAACAACTTATTTCTTCATGTTTTAAAAGCTATTGCTTCTTAAAAGAAAAGAGCCTTTTTTAAGGCATTGGTTACAAAACAAAACAGGTCTTCGTACGTTCAAGTTACTATTATTATTGTAAAAAGCCAATCTGTATGAGACATACAGTCACACAACTGGCACGTGAAAGTGTTGGACTTTGCCCCCTTTCATGGTTCGTACGTGAGGGAATTCGAGTTATCACACGTTAATCTATAAGTAAACAGAATTATAAAAATAACTCATGCACACAATTTGCACATGAAGATGTTGGCCTTTGGCCCCTTTACAATTCGTACGTAAAAAAAACGCAAATTGTTTACTACAAAATTTTCTCAACGATTTTAAGAAATCACCTCGGCTTCATTACAACATCTGCAATTAAATTATGTTTCATGCAACGTCAAGGTTGATAGCCTAACGTTTATTAACTTTAATTTGTAAGCGAGAGAATAATATTTTTAAAGCTTGTTTACAGGATTAACAATACTCGGTGCATCTTTAAAAAAAATAAGCTGCCTTTCAAACTTGTAAAACCACATTTTATATGCTGCATACTTTCAAATTAAAGTCCATATCTAAATATCAATTATTGCTTCACTGGAAGAGCTTTGAAAATATGATCTTTTATACTCTACCTTGGAGCAGGTGAAACACAACTCATAAATACGTGCATCAGTACTGTTCGCGATAGCTGAATTCGGTCAGAAATGTCTTGAAATAGCATCCACACTAAAATATGAACCCTTAAACAGCTGCATCACTGTACACAGCGTTTGAATCATGAAGATGTTTAATATAATGTTCCCAAACACCTGTAGCCGTAATATACGACGAAAAAATTGTCAAGAATCAAGATGGCGGTCTCAAAGTGCCCTTGTTCGACCTTTAGAGCTCTTTAGCAATGTCATGTTTAAGTAGATGCCAAGATCTCATTGGTTCCTAAGCATCAACTCATAGTACCTTCAACCTTATTGGCTCTTGCAACAAACATCCAGACATACAAAGTTACAAAGATACAAAGTTACAAAGATACATTTATAGTTACAAAGATACAAAGCCACAAAGATACATACGCTCACACCACTGACATATGAGCTATTTTTTCAAAATAGCTCAAAAACAGAATTCACTAGCCTGATAGCAAAATCCACTAGCCCCGGGCTATCGGACAGTACTTTCTTTGCACGCTGATGTATCAATTATTTTTATGCACAAATATTTTTAAAATTTTATTGTGGAACTTATGTTACACGAACATTCAGAATAACATTAAAAAAGGTTTTAAAAAATAAGTTTTAAATATTATTACCTTGAAACAGTAAACCTTTGATACATTAATGCCATGTGGTGTGCAGTCTCCTACATAATTTTGCTGTTCTTCATCTTAACATGCAATAGTTTGTAAGAGACAAAGAAATGTGCATTAGAGACTACATGGTCTGAAATAGATAAAAAAAACCCAAGCTGGAAAGACCAGAATACATTTCTTTGGATGAAAGCTTTTGTTAATTTGTCATGAAGCTGCATCTATATGTTATTGTTTAATTTAGAAAAAATGTCAGTATATGTTTTTTTGCGTAGTCTAGTATCCTAACCATCTCAGGAGTTGCATATTTTCTGTCAATGTTCCTTGGTTACAATCTGTTTGCTGATATTCACACCACAGATATGGAAACCTGGTAAGAAAGTCTCTGACTCTCAGATTTTTTTTTACCTTTGAATGGTATGTGCAATAACCACATGATACATTCTTTGAATTAACACATTAGCAGTCAATCAATAAAGTTCAGTTTTAAATTATCAAAATTTTTTCTTGGCTCTGAGGCTGAAGGTATTTGAACAAAAGAGGAGAATTATTAAACCTGGAATTTATTTCACCATTCTCACATTGGCCATTATCCACCTTGTCAACCCCTCAAAATCTTGCATAAATAGAGGATATTACATGGCCGCTCGGAGATACGAAATTTCTATTTCATGAGTGAGCGCAGCGAACGAGTGAAATATTTTTCAACACTCGAAGAGAAATTTCGTATCTTCAAGCGGCCATGTAATGTTCTATTTAATAAAATAAAATTAATGAACTACCAAACCATTTCACTTTAATAGATTTTTGGTGTGAAAGGCGCGATTTATATGGTGATATTTTCACATATGAAGATAACACATGTTATTTTCACATGTGAAGATATCCAGTTTTCGCGCAAAAGCTTACCTGGTATTTCGTTGGTGTTTATATTAGAAGAATTGTCATCCCATCAAAGACAACGGTTGTGTAAAATTTCAAGGGGGGGGGGAGGGGGTATAAACAAGGCGCATTTTGGTCAATGTGAAAATAACGAATAGTTAATCTTTTGCTTTAACCCTCAGCCTTAGAGCCAAGAATGAATTTTGAGAATTCAAAACTGGCCTATTGGAGAACAATAAAACTTCTTGTTCTTTTTAAGGTTGCCATTAAGGGCTGAGGGATGGGGATTGGGTATTTTCCTTGGCTAACATGACTGCAACCCCGCATACTTTCGTGGGAGAATAGAAGAAAAACAAACCAAAAGAAAGCTTTGCCTATTGCCTACAGCCGATGTATTTCTAGTTAGTGCAACAGTGTTTGCCTTCATTGTATTGGTTCTACTATTTCACAATAGTTTTTCTTTTTGACTTACTTTTGCATGTTAAACTTGGCAAATGTGTATATTCTACTATTGATAATTTTATTGGTAAAAATGACTTCCTCATATATTTTTTTGCTTTATTGCTCAATTTCTTGCATGCGTATTTATGAAATGCACTCGGTTACATCAATATACTCTATTACAGGGTAGGAGGATTTGCAGTTGTACTGTCTCTTCTTGTGTTTTTCATTTGTCTGCGTAAGGAGGAAGGTATGAATCTTTTGTAGTTTGTGGTAAATCAGTCCACTCTAATTGTACATACCTCCAACATGGACCGCTATATAAAGCATTGCCTGCCGGGTATCTCAATATTTTATATCTGAATTTGATTAACTCCATGAGTGGACAAGAGCACATGGTGATCAGTGCTTTCTTATAAAATGTTGGTTAATCAATAGATTTTTGTGAATTTTTTTTTTGTAAGAGGAGGGTGTGGTCAAATAATTTTTATTGGTTTATTTGATTATTATATTCCTTGTAGGAATTATCTCTGATGCTGCAGTCATTAGTCTTGTTATGATGTTTATATCTTGGGCAATAAAGCAAGAAAGGTTAATGCAAGAAAATTCCCTGGATGCACCAACACAATGGCTTTAGTAAGTAAATCCACATTTTATATCACTATCAAACAAATATTTACCCAGGAGGCACGCTGTTACAAAATCCTTCCTCCAGCCCTTTACCGGGACAGGTTGAGTAAGATCACCTGACAAAATTTGATCTCAAGACAATGGTTTCCATTCGCTCCCAAAGCTTATGCGCACTGAGCCTTGTACTATTGATAAAATTCAATCTAACGGAAATTAATGACCTTTATATTGAAAGTGGAAATGAAATTTGAAATTGAACATTACTTTAAAAACTTTCTGGCGTCTGTCTGTCTGTTCCCAACTTAACGGGATCCCGTTCAAAATGAGGTAAAAATTTAAAAAATTGGCGTTAAGCAGAAAGAAACGCAATATGTTATAGAGAGGAAATTGTGCCTAAAAGAAGTTTTGATTTTGCAGTGAAAATAAATTGGCACGAGTCGACCCCGATCATTCATTCGAATTAACTGTAATTCCTAAAAAAATAACAATTTTCTTTATTTTTTATTTTTAAACCAGTTCATTCACGGGCAACCGTTCATTCCTTAGTCTGTTTCTGTCAATGGCCACAGCGAGCTTAGGTAAATACTTTTCTGACCCTTTAATTGATTTTTAGTTCAAGAGTGCATGGTCCTTGTTTTTGTTTCAGAAGGTTCATGTGCATGATATGATATAGCCTGCGTAGCAGGCGCTTGGAAGTAGTAGGCGAAAGAGTTAACGGGCGCGCGACTAAGGAGACCCTCACCCCTCCTGTGTCCGTGTCTCCGTCGCGCGTGCCCGTTCTCTTTTTCGCCCACTACTTCCAAGTACCTGCTACGCAGGCTAGATATGATATGCTCCATTGTACCGATGAACCGCCCGATTTGCGGTCACCTCTCCCGACAGAGCATCTCCGGCGGTATGGTATCATGGTGTTTTACTTACTTCAAACTGTTGTTTCATATTCAGTCAAAGTATTTTCGTCTTCAAAAACGCCTGCTTGAAGGACAACGAGAGGTTGTCGCAACGTCGAGTAAAGTTTTACTTTGATTCTGCGGGGGGAAACTATTTTCTTATAATGGATCCAGCGAGGGAAACCGGCCGTTTGGGTACAAAGTCGTTTCGATAGAAGTCGTTTCGTTACAAACTCAGTCAAGCAGTGAAATTGGACAAAAATTTCGTCCACTTCAAGTACAGTTTGCGCGTGAAAAATGTGGGTGAATATTCTTCATTCTTTAAGCCAAGAACGTGGAACTAGTTTTTACGCCTCCACTGAATAAACGTGTGTCGGAACGACTTGTACAGTCGAAACGACCGGTAACCTCCAGAGAGCAAAAACCTTTATACATAAGTAGCAGTATTAGTTGCATAAACTAAAACCTGATTCTTCCCCTTGCAGCACTTTCAGTTTGTGCCGAAACTCCCGAAAACGGTAAACGGTCATTTCGCCCCAGTTACTTAGCCCCATATTTTCTAGTTATTTAAATTTGTAATACATCTCGTTCTTGAGGCGATGTTAAAGGTTACTTAGGGAGCTGCTTAAATAACCGGGCGAAAAGACCGTCAAGATGTTCTTTTTAAAGGATGCAGTCACTGGTCTCATTGCAACTTTGCTTGCAAATTGAAAACAGGGGCGGGGTTAAAGGGCTTTCATTCATTTAATTTTCTTGCAGAACACATGTCTCGTGCTCAAAGGATAATATCTATTTTCCTGTCCCCCACATGTCTGCTGTTTGCTTTGGTGAGAGTCGCGAGTGTTCTTGCTTTGGTGGCAGCCGTTCAACTTTCCTACTCTCAGAAGGTATAAAACTGTGTGAAAATGAATAATGGTTACGTTCAAAGAGTTAATAGTTTTACAGCATTCCACCCATATGTTATAGCGCGATCCTCAGTCGAGTGTCTTTAACTGATTGTTGTTCTCGCAGTTCGTCTTCACTTAGCCTGTGAACAGGCTCTCTGTTTGGGGAAAAATAGCGAGAAAAGGAAAGGGAAAGTGGGGGAGAGACCTGTCAACAGTCAGTGTTCTCGCCGATAGGAGCTTGCATCAGGATCTGATGCACAGTAGGTACCGTGGAACGGCGGCCCCAAATGTTTGTCTACAGGCCTTTTCGCTTTTCCCTCTCCCCACCCTGCTCCACTAAAGGCCTGTTCACAGGCTATTCTTCACTAAGTAGGTTGTGTTGCGAAAAATCGAAGAGAAAGAGAGACGGAAAAATCGGGTTCGTGAGGGAGGAAAACGACTTAACGACAGCGCCCAGTGACGCGATTAGCTGAACGAAAACAAGACCTTAATCACAGCCAGAATGATCTTAACAGTATTTTGAAGGAAATGGGTTATTTCCACTCGAGTCAGTTGTAGTCTGTAATCGCATGTAAATTTTTGGTTACCCGGTCCCTCTGATTGCCTAGCTTGTTCCTTCGGATACGAAACCGAAATGCATAATCGTGAAGGCCTTGGAAAACTCCTTTGAGACTTCCGTCTGCTTTTTTGACGTTCTCGTTGCCGTCGCCGTCGCCGTCGTCGTTTCTTAGGGTGTAGTAAAACGGGCAGCAAAAACATGCAACTAGTTTTGCAACGTTGCTGCAAAACGAGTTGAATAGCGATGTTGCATGTTTTACCACCCACGTTCAAACCTGTCTCGCAACGAATCTGGTTTATGCAGGTTGCGAAACGTTGTTGCAGAAAGAAGAGAGTAGTTCTATTTTCTGCAGCAAAATCTGTCACCCCATGTTGCGCGTATTACCGACCCAAGGCAAACTTGTTTTTCAGGAAGTGTTGTAACCCACGTGTTTGGCGTGACTTCCGCGTAATTTTATCCAATCAAAAGTCATATTCATGTGTCTTGCAACAATTGTAAGACAGGTTTGAACATGAGTGGTGAAACGTGCATCATTGCTCTTCAACTCGTTTTTCAAAAAAGTTGCAAAACAAATTGCACGTGTTTTTTGTCTGTTTTACCGTAGCTTTAAGTTCCCTAATGACCGAGCACGTACAATCATGAACAAAAGTCTTGGGACACTTTTGCGTTTCTGGGGCGTTTTCCAATTCACACACCCTACCCTCATCCCACAAACAATGTTGGACGCGTGTATCCAGAATTTTTTCCGAGTTTCATCTTTGTATAGGGTGGGGGAGGGAGAACTGCAAGACAATTTCGAAAAGAATGCACTGTTTTAAGAGGGAACCGAGAAACGACAGAAAAATATGAAAATTGCGGGACTGTCCCAAGGACTTTTGTCCAGGATTGTAGCTCAGTCAAGGTTATTAGTTTGAAGATGATCGAAGAGAGGAGCGAAGGCATTTTCTGATTGAATGCACCTCTATTGTTTTAGAACTAGCAAGTCATTGTTTAATTCACTGAAGTGAAACAGTTAGTCATCATTCCAGTTAGTTACTTCTTGTTCCAGTTCAGTGACCTTATCCTCAATTTATTGAAAATAAATCCTCAATTTTTTGAAAATAACAACCAAGAGAGAATAGGTCATTCTCTCTTGTAATAACCTGTTCAAAACGATTGAAAGGTGCATCAGCTATACATATTGCTGCTAAAAGTTCCTTCATCACAAACTAGTCGATTTGATACTCATGACAGTTTCGTATTTTATTTAAGGATGAAGAATGCAGCACATTGTACGAAGAAGAACCGAGAATTTACGGAGGTTTCCGTCCTCTTTACCTTCGTTTGATCATAATCTTTGTGTACACTGAAGTGGTAGTTCGCACTATAGACTCTGCAACTTCGTTTAACGCTCACGATATCGCCAACAGATCTTCCAACAGAGATGTACTACCGATGTTAACAGGCATCAAAGTCTGGCGAATTATACAGCTTTTAACAATTACAATTACCTACCTCTACCAGCTATTCAAGCAAGCGGACTAAAAAATGAGATGCACTCTTCAAAGTGTTATTTGGGGCGCTCAGGCGGCTTAGGCTAAATAATCATCACATGCTACCATTATTATGAACGTTAACGATATCCTGTTCAAAACGGTGACCAACCTGGGGAAGGTTGAACGGTCACATTTATATAATCTGTGTGGTTTGCTTGTGGTGGCTATTCCAAAAAAGCGTCCTGTTTCCCGGCGACCTATAAAGGTGACCAAAGAGCAACTAATCGAGAAGGAATATCAGATGCACGAACGAAATCATTGCCATCGTTATCATTACAGGCCGTATTAAACTTGGATGCCTTGAACAAGAGAGGAAGAAGCAGGAACTGCAGGATACCTAGCCTTTTGCATTGTTTTGCTCTCGCAGGCTACGGTACAGAACACCGTGGCGTTGCAGAAACTTTTCTTTGCATATATATTGTTTTTTTAGTGGGTATTGTTCATTTTCTTGTTAATCTTTTAGTGTTCCGTTACTGCGTTTACAGTTTCTATAGAAACTGAAACACTACGCAGTCATACTCTGGCTGTGTGATAGTGCCACTGGTTAATTCCTGTAAAATTACAGTGTTTGTATGGGGTAAAGTTGCGCTCCTAAAATTTGTAGGAAATACCAAATAAAAGTCACTGACACTTACTCAAGCTCTTGTTGTTTTCCTTAATGCTCACACGAAGTTTCATGATAATTTGCTCAAATTTACCCTCCATACAATAAAATATCAAGGTAGGTGTTACGAGATGAACTCTAAGCCGCCATCGCTCCTCCCCCCCCCCCCCCCCCCCCCCCCCTCCCCCACCCAAACACACCACCCCCCCCCCCCACATAGCCCCCCCCCCCCCCCAAACAAACAAAAAAACACCCCCAAAAAAAAACAAACAACAAAACACAAAAAAAAAAAAAAAAAACAACCAAAAAAACCACCCCCCCCCAAGGGGAGCAGCCCCCACACCACCCCACACAACACAACAACCCCCCCCCCCCCCCAGGCCATTTCCCCATCTCTTGGTTCTTTCCTTAATGCCTCCCACGAATTTCATAGAAATTTGCCCCAATTTACCCCCCAAACAATAAAAGATCAAGGGAGGTGTTACCGAAAGCACTCTAAGCCCCCATCGCCCCCCCCCCCCCCCCTCCCCCCCAAATTCGAACTGATAAATAAACACGCTAGGCTCTTAGACATTGGACTGCCCCAGATATCGAAACCAATGAAACTTACCCAACAAGAGAAACGAACCTAACAACTCGAAGAAGAGAAACCAAAAATGGCCGAAAATACTTGCTCCGAAGAGGCTGAGCCACCACAAACCAGCACTGTACTAAGTCAACTTCACCCACGGCTCCCTGGGTGTCCTATTGGACTTCACTAGCGTTCATCAAACTGAATCGCGAGACGCCAAAACAAAACCCATGCAGGCGCCAGAATTAATTTTGTAACTCTCTAAAAACTTTAAAGTATCCCATTTTTTAAAAAAATAACCGGAGTGACGAAAAGTGTGGTGCACGTGCCAAGTTGATGTTATGCTATTCCAGTGTGTTGTTCTTGTTGTCGCTACCATCGTGGTCAATTAAGCTTCCTATTTTATTTTATTAAAAAAAAAATTGGGAAACGTATGAGTTTTCCCCTGGCGCGTGGCCATGATGGGAAGAGCTTCAAGAGCAAAAGGCGCGGTCGCTCTTCCCTTCCCTTTCCCTCTCTCCCCAGCCTCGTGGCACAAAGCGTGATCCCAGTGGAAGAGAGAGGAACACAGGGGCGGTGTTGATTGAATCGAAACGTTTTCGATGTCCCCTGCCCCTTATACCTTCAGTCACATTGGCAGAAATTTCAATAGACCTCCCCCGCTCCAAACAAAAAAAACTCTCCATGCCTCCCCTCTATATTTTTGCCCAATCCCATAATTTGATTCGTGACGTCACATTTCAAACCCGGCTCTGCAGTTTACAACGCTAAAAAAATCTGTTAAATGAGGCATAAGGTTAGGTCCAACGCACGTAAATGAAGTGGTATGAGGTGGACGGGTACTCTGCAATTTAATACTCCGAGGAGATAAAACTATCCCGTGATTAGCTGCCTTGGGTCTCCGTGGCCAAAAACATGCCGCGATGTTGCTGACTCAAGTCGAGTCATGGGCATGACTCGCGCGTGATGTTGTTATTTGCATATAAATGCGGGCAACAAACATAAAGTGAATGTATTCTTATTGAAGGGCACGGTGACATGGAACGAGACCGTTTTGCTTTGGCCGGGCATTTGTTGCTTTTTGCAGCACTTATCTCTGCTGTAAGATCACAAATTCCACTGCCCAAACATCCATTAGGTTTTGTGTACCAGGGAGGTGAGTCCAGCGCTCCCATTCATCTCACAGCTTTTGTAGATCTGACCTGTCCAGACTGCAAACAGGCATGGCCGACGGTGAAAAAGATTGCAGATATGTACGGGCCTAAAGTTGTGCAGTTTACGTTGCAGCTCTTTCCGTTACCGTATCACACAAATGCATTTATCGCTGCTCAGGTGAGTTTACGCTTTGACTTGAAATCCTGTCCCTGTCAGATAATAATCGATGCTCCAAAAAAATGTATGTGTCGACTGCCAACACCAGTTTGCTTGGCAGCTTTGTACATGGTATATTTCTGTGGATGAAACAATTCTTGGGGAGATACCTTCTTTCTCTGAGGTAAAGCCCAATTCAGCCCCATTCTAGTCACTTTCTTGGAAATGTAAATTACGTAATCAATTCCGTTATCCCTACTTCAATAATGTACTTACTTAAGGCTTTTCTTGAATGAGCAATACCCGCAGTTAAGTATTGCACTTAGAAGCAAAGACAGGCCTGATCGTTTTTATTGCAAGTAGTCATTTGTGTGTAAACTCCATTTGCATGCAAAAAATTCTGCAAGGCACCACGCATTTTTGGCACCATGCTTGCAAGTTTTGGGCACCGCACTTGCGATTACCGACGTGTAAATGCATCAGTACCCCAGCTTTTGGGGTTGCTGAGACTACGTCACGGAGATAGTTGCGGTATGGCATAAATAGCAGTTATGTTGGTGACGTGCATGGTGCTTTTTGAACTAAAAATCTGACAGTAAAGAATCACAGCTTGATTTTTCAGCCATTTCCAGTAAAGATACAAATGGAACAAAAGAAGTGCAAAATTGTTACCATTCCCAGGTGACAAAAACATCATTTTGAGTTGTATGAATGGGTATAGGACCAAGAGGGTGGTGGAAATTAAGCCTATAATGAGTAGTCAGCCATTGGACTGTGGATTGCAGACTGCAGACCAAGGTTAAAATGAAGACCAAATGTAGACTGCACAAGTCTGAGAGTAAAATGCAGGGTAAACATAGGCTCAAAATGTAGAATAAGGACTGACCAACTGATAAGCATAACACTGTGTACTTGTTATTGAGAGCAAACCTCAGAAGTATGCAAATATATTGAAAATTAAAGCTGTCCCATTCTAGTAAATGTTCTTTTGAGAAAATTATTCCATTTTTGTGTTCAGCTTTCTTCCTAGTCTTGGAAGCTTTGGAAAAAAACCTTTTTTTCTTCTTTACTTGATTCACTAAAGACCTTTTCTCGTTTCCTGCTTTCAGAGTGTCTACGCCGTGGAAGCCTTTAACTCATCTCTTGTTATCAGCTGGATGAACGTCATATTTGATAACCAAGAACAACTGTACAATTTTCAGACAATGGACAAAGACAGATATGATGTGATCAAGTAAGTGTGATCAAAGTCTTGGGTAATTAAACCAACTGACTGATTAAAACAAATTAGTTATTAAAACCCTTATGTAACTGGTTAATTGTTAACGATAAAACTTTCTATGGCCTCTCCCCCTGCCCCCAGGTCTTTGCCCTCTCCCCTGAAGCAGGCAACTCCTTGGGCATTTGAACTTTAAAAGTCTGAGTTGTTTAATTTCCATTCCCTAGTCCCGAAAATAAGTGCCTCACTGTCATACAACCTTATTTCAAGGGTTGTCTCCTACTTTGTTCCACACAGACAGGCAGGAGAGAAGACAGAGAAGGCTGGGAATGAGGTTGACTGTCAAAATGTCAAACACCCTGCCATTTAAAAGTGGCAACTGCGACAGCAAATTAAACACAAATGATTCACATACATATTGTCAAAGCCCTTCCTCTCTGGCACTGAATTTCTCCAACTTTACCCTATGTTTTCCATCAAGGTACAAAATGATTATTGGTAATATTAAAGTGTAATAATGGTTACCTTGGCCACTATCCAAAAGTTTGTCAATTTCAGCTTTTGAATGGCAGTCAAGCCTTTTAAGTGACTTAAAAGGTTGGGTGCCCTGAATATGGGGACTGAGTTTCCTTTACCCTACAATCTTAACAAAAAAGAACTTTACATAGGTATCTAATACAGTTTTTGAAAATGTTGCCAGAGCCAGGGGTACAAGTTTATTGATATTATTATTTTATGCTGTTGACTGTCCCAGTAAGGATAATGTATCTTTTTGAATGAATGTTACATATTGAATGAGTGAGTGAGTGAAAATATGTTTCTGTACACTGTACCTGTTTATCCTATTTTAGCATTATTTCTGATCTGGGAAGTAAGCTTAAAATTGACAAATCAGTCATCAAGGATGGTCTTTCCAATACTAAATTTGATGAGAGTACAAGAATTTCATGGAAACATGGCTGTTCAAGTGAGTATTCTTTTAAATTTGCATAGCACTATTTAATAGATTATTGTAGTCTCCAAAACAAACAAAAGTCATGCAAGTTTCTCTAAGGAAGAGTGGGGACATAGTGTGTTATTTATATACATTATTTTATAGATCAAAATGGCTAAATATTGGCCTCATATTCTATGTCAAAGAAAAACGAAAAAAAGAACAAGTCAACTCCAAAATAAGGAATGGCTGAATATTTAATTATTTAATAGTCAGCTACCTTGTCTAAACAATTTTGGTCAATATAGGATATATTTTATGGCCAAAAGTAAAATATATCTCTGAGGTCCAGAGTGGCAAGATAGACCCATCTTCTCTGATTGGCTAACCAATCAGAACAAAGGATTTGCATCATCTTATCATCTTATGCACTCGCACAACCAGCCCATATAACAACAATATCTTTTTTTTACTATTTTAAAGTTGGGGTGTATTTTGAATTTAAATCAGCTGTAGAAGAATTAATATGTAAATGTTTTATGTTTTGCTCCTGTAGATTGGCTTTTGTTTCTTGCTGAGTGCCAAAGATGTTTGTTGTTATTTGTTGCTTAATTTTAAATAACAATGTCCTGTCTGTATTATTTTAGGGGCAGTCTCTGGCACTCCATTCTTTTTTATAAATGATATTTTTGTCAGTGAAGCTTCAGCTAGTTGGACTGTGGAGGACTGGAAGAAACTCATAGATCCACTGTTGAAATGATAGATGGTTAATTCATTTCCTGCACATGTATATGAAGTATCTATTGATAATTCATAATGTTATGAATTAAATAATAGATCAGAAACTCATAATTTGCTGCATAGGTTTAAATATATTATGACAAGTTGTGTTTAATTTTTTGAAATAATTATTTAACATTTTATTTGTCATAATAAAATGCTTTTTACCAACAGAAAACTACCTACTCGTTTAAAGAAGCTAAAGAGTAGTTAATTGTATCAGCAACGTTCCTACCTAGTGGCCTAGCTTCTACACCTAATTGCAATTACGTTGTCTTGGAAAAATGCTATAGTAAGGTTTAATCAGAACATCATCGCAAATTAATGAATTATACAATGTTGTTTACTACAAGAATTCTAAAACCTAAGATCACAAGCAAATCTTTTAAAAACAGGGACTGGGTTACAATAATGATGATAATATCGAATTACAAACAATTCCAAAACGATTTCTAATAAAATAATAAATATTATATGAAAAAAGAAAATTGTCATACATGCAACTATTTGATCTATGCAGACTAATGAGTTAAAGTTAAGATTGCAGTTGGAAAGAAACTACGAATAATTATTAGTCTTTCAGTCCTGTATATAGGCATCGTATAGTTCTCTCCATTTCTCGTATAATGTACACAAACCCTCGTCTTAGGAATATGTTTAGAGGGTGGTCCCCCTTTTTGAAATCTTTTTGAAATCTGAAGGTGCTCACGCATAGTTCACAGCGTCTTTAGTCTAATCTAGGTAACTTAAGAAAATGAAGAGCTTCTCTGTATGAAAGCGCACACCTAATGCGTTTAAATGATACGGAAAAAAGAAAAAAGCCAAATAGGAATTAATTAGGCTTACTAAAAAACCTTGCAAATGTTGCAAATTGATGAATCGTAGAGTAGTTTGTTAGTGTGCCTAATTAATTCCTATGTGGCTTTTTACATTTTCCTTCTTTCCTTTTTGCATGTTTTCATTGACAGTATTATTGTCATAAGGTGCATATAGCGTTTAATAATATGTTAATATGTGCAAAGATTTGTGAAATTATTGAGTAGTTGCAATATTTCTATTTCCATGCCCGTTGTTCAAACGTCGGTTAGTTTCCTTTTCTCTCAATCATCATTTCCTGAACTATGACCGTAAAGGTAATATCGCTAGTGTACAGAGTAATTTATAGCCTGCATAACAGGCGCTTGAAAGTGATATGGGCGTAAGAAAGAACGGGCTTAATGTGTGTACTGTACGGCCAGGGCAAAAAAGTGGTTATTTTCACCAGCCGCGTTGCTATTACCAGTGGTTGAAGTGCTAATCCATCGTTAGTTATAGACGCGCACAGGTTACTTTTATAAACCGCGCTCAACCGTGACTCCGCCGCCTTTTTTTCAAAGAAAACTGATCCCGGCCCAACACCGTCGGGTGTTGAGTTGACAGATCATGTGACCCGTATCATTTTTAAATCACCCGTTCTTAAATGATGTCATCTATAAGGAAAAAAGAAACTTGAATTTTGCTTTCCTAAATATACATACTTCTCTGATTTCGCGATTTAGTCCCATTCGGGTTCTTGATCTTTGAGTCCGGTTACCACAGATTTTCTCAAGCCGATAAAAGACATATTGTTTTCAATTTCAGAGGCAAAGTGAATGGTCTTGTTACTAGTCCGCCCTGTAAATTGCTGGGACGGCGCTTTGAAACTTCTCTGGTTTGATGAAGACGATGACGATGATGATGGGGAGGAAGGTTTATTCAAAGATATATCGACTCCCCCTGATTCGCTGCTTAGTGTTGTTTCGTCTTTCGTCACATGCATTTTAAGTTTCCCGGCATTTCCAGCCACGTGAAATCCACTGTATTTCACTTCTGATTTTTTATTTGCTGTTAGATCCTTCTGATGACTTCTAGCAAAGATCTTCTTCTCTTTTTTTAAAGGTAGAAGAGAAGAGCCATTCTTTTTAAACATCTTTCTCCTTCTGTTTCTCAGTTTCAACCCATGTAACCTTTTTGAATGAGCTATCCTCTTCTTCCAATTCCTCCTGGTTTTGCCTTTTTTTGTTTTGAGGATAGCAGATTTTTTAAAACTTATGGTGTGCCATCCGGGTTGTGTTACGTGTACGATTGGTTTGTCTGACTTGAGAACTGGGTAATCAGCCGTGCCTGGTTTGACAACAACTTGGACCGAGTCCGCTTGTGCTGTCACTTTCGCAAGATCTTTTGTTGCTGAGATTTTTAAATCCCCAGATTTATCCTCAACTTGAAAATGCGCCTTTTGGCCTGTGCTGTCAGCGGAAAATGTTGTAGACAAGAAAAGTGGCATGAAAACTGCAAGAGTCTTTAGAGTCTTGCAAGCGGTACACAGAGAAAATATTCCATGAAATCTGTTCATCTTGGGTGGCTGAGCTAAGTGCTCCAAAAGCAATATTTGAAGGCGGCGTTAACACGTTTGTTTGCAAAACGTCGATAAATAATTTATTTAATTGTCTGTGCTTTAAAATATCACCACGATTTAACAACAGATTCCTTGAGCTTGAAGAACTGTAGCAAAGGAGTAGTACACTGCGTATAAACTAAGTTCAATTTGAGGTGCTTGATATCGTGTGATATAAATAAGATTTGATTTTTTTTGAAGGAAGTTTTATTAAATGAACTAATAAATGTTTTAACCACCAGCCGAGTTTTTGACTGGTGCTCGCTGTTAAGGTGTGTTTTTATTCACATGTTTCTGCCCTCTTCTTGGCTTCAGTTCTGTAGACCACTTTAATTAAGATGTCAATTCTTTAATTACAAGCGACTAAACAGGCAAGTTTAACTTCGTTGTAATCATACCCTGCGAGCAGAGGCTACATTTTGACCGACGTAAACTCTTTCACTCCACTGCATGTTTGTTTAGTTTTTCTCGGCATTTTCACACTTCACTGACCAACAGCTTGCAATAATATTATTGTTATTATTTTTTAAGGAATGTAAAAACATAATCTACCCACACTAACTTAGTGAAACATATACAAACGTGATGGTAAAAGTCAAACTATATCTGCGGATCGAAGACATTGATGCTTTTTCTGTTTCAATATTTATGTTATGGACAGGTTGTTTTACTATCTTATTGACCTCTTCCAATTCAATTATTTTATCACCCGTCTCCTACAAGTTCTCCCGATGGCAATAATTCTCTGTCAGCACCGTTCTTTGAAGTTCGAAGCTATTGTTGCTTCTTTTTGTATCCTCATCGCTTTAGTACACATATTAGCGGTACAATCTTCCCCAATCCCACAGGACAGCGGCACTTTTCAGAAACCACATTTTCAGGTATTAAAAGGTGTATTCTTTAGTAGGTACCAATCAGTTTAAATTGGCGAAAACGCGCGAGCGGGCTGGGTCGTGGAGGGGCCGTGGGGAAATTTCCAGTTTTTTGTTTTTGTTTTTACTTTTTAAAACTGAATTTTGAAAGCTTGTAATTACTGAGTCAACCTCTGATATATCATAGTAAAAGACCTTAGACTTTAACAGTTTTTTACAAGCAAAATTTGACAGGTAAGGGTTGGGATTGTCACGCTTCGGATGTCTTTATCAGCTTGTTAATTCTTCGGGGAGAAAAATGATGGCGCGGTGGTGAGAGGACTTTCGGTCCGGGTACACATCCGGGCGTCGACGCCATATGTGAGTTGAGTTTGTTGTTGGTCACGCTGTCCCTTGCTCCGAGAGGTTTCTCCGATTTCTCTCCTAAAAAACCATGAACATTTTCAAATTCAGGAATGGTGGACGAAGAACAACTATGTGGATGGGCTACCTCTAAATCGTCAGTCACTCGCAGGAAACAAGCAAAAAGGCTACAGGACTAACTGCATGGACGGCATGTTTTGAACAAATCGTTGTTGAATGAAATTTTCACCACATGCGAAAACAGAAAGTTTTGGAAATTACGCGTATCCTCAGTAAATTAGCAAATTCAAACTGCCGTGAAAATGCGTGTGTGCTTTTTATACAATGAGATATACGTCAGCTCACTGTTCCACAGAGTTCAAGACAGAAATGCGGGGTATCCTAAATCTCTTTTTCTCCTTTTTTGTGCGCAATAACGACCATACACATCTTTAAACTCGAAGAAACTAGATCTGTGCATTTTGCATGACTTAGGGCGCTTCCCAAAAGTCAGAACAGGCCGGTCGGATTATGGCCTAACAATCTCTTGGGCCGAACCAGTCATTTTGACAATGAAATGGCCTTTTTCCAGGAGTGCTTCTTTTTTTATGAAAACCCATCTCCTTCCTACATACTATTTAAGATTTGATTGATCTGACTGGATAGTTTTGATTAAAAGTGAGATTCTCATTGCGAAGGGAATGGACTGGCTAGTTAGTTCTGACAAATGGAAAGCGCTCTTAAATTGTTTCCTTAATTAAATGGAATAAAAAATGGCCATGATTTCTTTTACAGACCGTTTCCGCATTCATGTGAACAAAGGCACCAACTTGAAGCTCGGGTGGACAAAATACAATGATTGGTATGAAACTATCTACCCGAGCCTCGACCTCATTTCTTTGTGTTTGCTCACCGGAGCAGAATGCGGGAAGGGAATTGGCAACTGGCAACTGATTTTGTCAGTCGCCGTTTTCCCCCCTGGACACCATCCCACCAATCCTTACTCGGCCCTTGCAAAGATGACGGGTGTAGTGTGAGAAAGGTCTTTTTAAAGATGATGTCATCATATCTGCAGCCTGGATAAGTAGGAGATGTTGCTCATGGGTTTAGTCACGATATGCCCCTGGCTAAGTAGCCTGAGAAATCGTCCGTTGTTTCGCTGTTTTCCACCGGTTTCCCCGCGAAACGACGTCCGAGGAACGAGCGCAGAAATTGCATACTTACATGACGTGTCACTAGCCAGATCTGGAAAGTGCTTCTGATTGGTCCTGCTGCGAGGGAAATTTGCCTTAACCTATCAGAAGCACAAATAAGATATGGGAATACACACTTCATCGAATCAGTATGGAATTCCTGCAGCTTCCTGCAATCGTTCCGTCGCAAAATGTGGGCTATTTTCTCGGGCTACTGGCTTAGAAGAGTTATGGATCTAATGAAAAATGTTTTCTTGTTAGGCCCGTAAGAATGTAAAAAATTTTTTGTCAGGTAGAACATAAAGCTGGTGTATTATCAATCACAGCTACAAAGGATAAAGCAGACGTGGACGTGAAGTCGGACACAATTCGTCTACTCGTAAAACCAGGAGATAAACAATACCCTGTTGGTCAAGAACCGGAAGTAAAGACAGTTCATGTGGAACACAACTGCTGCCTTCCACAAATTTCTCCACTCATTGGTTAGCTTCTTATTGGGGGAACGGTTCATCGCAGTGTTCTCCCGGCATGAGATGGGGATGGGAAACTTTTAACCGCCGACAGGGCTGGTACTCTAGATATATAAGTATGTACCGTGAGAAAGGGTGTGAGGTAAATAGTTCAGGTAATATATCAAGCATGAAGACGTAGTGTTTCATCACCAAATGAAGCACTGAGAAGAGCGTTGAAAATTCGACGCGCAGCGGAGTAGTTTTGACGAACTTCGAGGTGTTTCATCTGGTGATGAAACACTGTGTCAAATGCTTGATATTACTTCTCAAACAAAATGATTTAAGAAGGAGTAATTAAGGATGCAAAAATGAGCAGTTTTTCATCTCATTTCCAAAAATTTAATTTCCTTTGTATTTTCTTTATAAAATATTAATGAGTTTGAGAAAGTTATTTGTACAACCTAAATTCTCTGTTAAGAACTGAACTACCAGTTAAAGTACATTGATTACCCAAACCTAATCACGCAATTCTGTGTTAACGGTTTTTCCTTTAATAGTACTCATTTTTTAATAAAACTTTGGGAAGACGCTAACTTATTCTAAATAAACATGGTGCCGTTTGGGAGTTATGTTTTTGACTTACATGTACGTGTATTGCATTTACCACACGCTTACAATCTACAATCCTACAACCATGGACAAAAGTCTTGGGACACTTTTGCATTTCTGGGGCGTTTTCCAATTGACACAGGTCCAACCCCTTCCCTCAGCATACAAACAATGTTGGACGCGTTTATCCAGAATTTTTTCCGAGTTTCAACTTTGTATAGGGTTGGGGGGAGGAAGAACTGCCCGAAAATTTTGAAAAGGATACAATGTTTTAAGAGGGAACGGAGAAATGGCGGAAACATATGAATATTGCAGTACTGTCCCAAGGACTTTTGTCCGGGATTGTAGCTCAGTATTATGGTGACTAAATAGTTCTTAGTTTGCCGAGGTAAACACACAGTTTTCGTAGATAAACCACTGATATTGATGAAAAGTGCCAGTAACTTACATTAAATAAAATGATTCCATGTAAGTACTGAAGATTAAAGTTTACAATTTATTCTTTGGCCGATAAGCGACGGCCCCTAAATCAAATTCTGCATGGTACGCATGGTTAAAATTTTAATTTATTTTTTTAAAATGCCAATTGCCAAAACGACTGGGGGCTTCTTGGCCCCTGCCCTTCCGCTAGCCAACGAACAAATAGTTATGCTCTGCGACGTCGCTGTATGGTGTTGTTTGTTGTAATATGCCTCATACTCACCCCCCGGAATTCCCACTTGAACAAGAACTATACCGGCCCACTGTGTTAGGCCATCTTCTCTTGGCACGACAGAGCCTCATAATTTAAAGGGATGTTAAGTAAACCCCTAAATTATAAAAGTTTCTTTGTAAGAACAACAACTACTGAGGTTTCGTCTGGGAACAAATGTATTAAATTCATTCGTAAGTTGTAAACGAGAGCAGATGAGTTGCGACTCAAGACCGCTTTCAACTGTCTTAAAACAAAGATCTCTCCGTGGCGAAAATGGGAGAGGAGAATGAAATTTCAACAGAGAACGAAAATAACTAAAGACCCTCTCTCAGTGTCTTCTCGTTTTTTTCATTCAGTGCCCTCAATTTGATAAGGTGTATCCTATATTCTCAGGAATCCTATAGTTCATAAGTCTCCGGCTCCTATGTAGGATTCGTTGCCATTACCATTGTTAATATTATAACATGAATTATTTAGAGTCAAGCCCCCTTTATCTTCTCTTGTTAGAGCATATTAAGTTGTTGAGTATTGTAATTTTATGAGGTTAAAGGCAAAATAAATGAATGAATGATAAATGAATGAATGAATAAATGAATAGATGAATAAAAATGAGAGAGAATCGTTCTCATTTAGTTGGTTTTCAAAAACTAAGAGACGAAACGGAACCCTTGGTGAAATCAATGCAACTAAATATGTATTATTTCCTGTAATGTTCACTCCTGAGCTAAAATGCGGCTCGCATGATACACTGCATCGACTGCCGTTCACTTTCACAAAATAAAAGTCAAAATTAGTCACGACATGCTATCTATAAATGACAAAAGTGCCAACAAGATTGATAAGAGTCACATTTATTGTATGAATTCTTAGCAAAACCCTTTTGTTAAATTAGTGGCTATAGCAAGGGAGGGCGAAACTGCATACAATAGCGTGAAGGCCGACCGCAAATGCAGGTATAAAACATACTTTAAATCGGTAATAAAAACGAAATATTTATACATTCAAAATATTTCTCCAGTTTAGAATCGACCGGCTAATTATTCGTAACACGCTCACGCACGCTGACCAAAATTGATAGAAGCAAGATAGTCGTTTGATAGCTGCCAGCGGTTGCACCACCAATCAGTGGGAAATTTTTTTTTGCCACGCCGAGGACCAACTTTTTGCGTCTAACCGATCTTCGAAGGGTGAAATTGTCTTTGGGAAATTTTCATGCACAGGTAAAACAGGACAAAAGAATTCACTTTACAACAGAGCTATATTTCAACTTCATCCTCGTAGGTGTATAAGGTGCGAAAAAGTCATAGGTTTGTTTGCGCTCACATTTCGCTTTACACTTAAAACAATGTGTGGTTATTAGTCTTGTTTGCTTTCTTCCTGTTTGTATTGTTTGATTGATGGGTGGTATAACTAATTGCAATGCAAAACAGGGTTTATAAATGTTGTTCAGTTAACTTTAGATTTATATAGTGAGCAGTGCTGTTTGAGTGTAAGGTTGAGATCATTATTGAAGGTAAGGATAGATAAAACTAAGATTATTTCCACCTACATCTTCTCATTAACACTAACCTTAACTGCCCCTCAGCCATAAGTGAGGTAGTCGAGGGGTAGCCATTTATTTTTCCCGGGTCTCTTAACGCTGGCAACAACGCACCGGTAAGGTCAGTGTAACTCCCGCTGGGGTAACAAAGTGAACTAAATTGACTCAATACATTTTAATGGCTAAAGCATCATAAAGCGACTGACCCCAGTTTATGCTCTTGATGTGGCATTTATTCTTTTATTAAAAAGTTGGAAATGATTCTGCCAATTGTTAATAGAAATATGACTATTAGGAAAAATACTTAGTTTCTTTCAGAAACTACGTTTTGGCGCCATGAAATTCCGCCAAATATAACGGATACTCTGGGATCGCGCATTCAATTTGTTTTAAAACCAGGTCTCCCGCGAACAGGCTTCGCCGAATGTACCAGGGAGTGGGCTGTGGTAGGAAGCCAACAGATTATACAATTTTTTTTTGTCCGCTTAATATTTTAGAGTTTTTGTAAAATTCATATCTAACCTCTGATTTATAATTACTGCAGCATGTATACGTTTTCGTCTTTGTCAAATTTAGACTTCAAATACAAGGGCGACGTCTGTATAAATTTCTCATGTTTACTCGCTAAATTAAACGCAAAGATCGGTTATATGTTCGATATAAATTTGCTTCTGGGGAAAACGTGACATACCATCTGCCCAAGGTGCATATGCTAAGCAACGCAAGGTGTGAGGTCACTGAGTTGTTAGCCTCC